TTTAACACTGGTCCTTTCACTGAGTTTCCTTGAAGTATCACCACTTCACTACTCCAGTTATTTGGACGTCCTTCTTGTAGTAAGAAGAGTTTCTGTTGAAACTGAGGTTCCTCCAACTAGCTTCGTTACAAAAGGATTTGTTTGTGATGAGCTTGAAGAGTTGAAGAACACTTGGAACTTTGCTTGAGTTGGAAAGGGTATTTTTCCAACTTCTGCCTTCTCTTGTGGAAGATAATGAGTTTGAATCTCAAGGAGGCTTTTTGCTTTTCAGAGTTTGAATATCTTGCTTGTGGTTAGCAAAAGTTGCAATGTAATCTTGGTAAAGTTATCCGGTTGTTCTTCGTAGTGTATCTTTTATACTGAGGTTGTCTTCCCGTTGGAGGAGTAGGAGGACAACTGCATTAAATGAGCGATCAGTTGACTTGACTAGTAGAGCCCGGTAAAGTTGGCGGGTTACTATTTTGGGATAAAGTATTCCTGACATTCCGGCCAATCATCTGCAATTACTCTATGTAGCATGGGGTGCATTAAATGAGCATTTAATGCATGCACTGTAGCTTTTCCGTTTCATACTCCTAGCCGTTGAAGGAATCTTTTAGTTGACTTCCCGGTTCTTTGAAAATCTTCTAAGTGTCAGACCTTCTGGTGTCTATGTCTGAGAGTAGAACAGAGGAGGTCTGGAGCACTTCTGTTGGGAGTATCCAACAGAGACCCAGAAGGGTTTCTGTCAGAGTCAAGACTAACAGAGATCCTGAGGACTTCTGTTCTGGAGCAGAGAACCAAAGGTCCTCTGTTTCAATAAAGCCTTAAGAGGCACTTCTGCTCTTGAAGCCCTTCTGCTCTTGAAGCCCTTCTGCTCTTGAAGGTCTTCTGTCAAGTCGAATACATCTAAGAATTTTACAAAGGAAAATTCTAATACATAATTTCTAAAGGGGTACTTCTAAAGTCCTAATTAATCTAGCATCATCAAAATCTAATTACAATTATTCCTTAAATCTTTATAGGCTATTCAAACACCAGTAAAGCCTATAGAGTACTCAATAGAAGGACTCTACATGTTGAAGAGTCTATACATGTGAAGTTTGATGATAGCACCTCCGTTAAAGAAGTAACAGAGATCCTTAAGGAAGTAAGCATAGAAGACAGAACACCTGAACCAATAGAAGAGGTAGCAGATAAACCTGCATTTCCAACACCTGCACCAAACCCCTTCTGTTGAATAAAGATGAAGACTCAGAAGATGAAGAACAAGAAAGACCCAGACAGCAACTGACAGAACCTGATTTGACATGGTTAAGAGACCATCCCCCTAATCAAGTTATTGGGCATATCAGAAGTGGTGTGCAGACCAGATCAGCATCAACAACGAGAGAAACAATGCTTGCCTGCTATATATCTCAGATAGAACCCATGACTGTGGAAGAAGCTCTTGCAGACTCAGATTGGATCAATGCAATGCAAGAAGAGCTCACTCAATTTGAAAGGAACAAAGTATGGGAACTTGTTCCTAGGCCAAAGCACCAGAATGTCATTGGAACAAAATGGGTGTTCAAGAACAAAGCTGATGAATATGGAAACATTGTAAGGAATAAAGCAAGGCTGGTAGCTAAAGGTTATTGCCAAGAAGAAGGAATAGATTTTGATGAGACATTTGCACTAGTTGCCAGACTGGAAGCTATCAGAATATTTCTAGCCTATGCTGCTTACAACAACATCAAGGTCTACCAGATGGATGTCAAAAGTGCATTTCTGAATGGAGATCTTGAAGAAGAAGTTTATGTGGAACAACCACCAGGTTTTGTCATTCCTACTCACTCCTCCTGTGTCTACAAGCTTAAAAAGGCACTCTATGGTCTTAAGCAAACTCCCAGAGCATGGTATGACACATTGTCCCTTTTCCTAGTGAACCATGGGTTTACTAAAGGAAAGGTTGACAAAACTCTATTTCAAATCTCTGTTGCTAATCATATTCTGTTAGTACAAATATATGTTGATGATTTTATATTTGGTAGTACTAATCCAGAACTGTGCAAGAAATTTTCTCAAGTGATGCAGAGTCAATTTGAAATGAGTATGATGGGAGAACTCAGCTACTTCCTAGGACTTCAAGTCAAACAAGTTCCAGAAGGAATCTTTATCAATCAAAGGAAGTATACTAGAGATCTGATCAAGAAGTTTGGAGTGGAAGGCAAATCCTCAGTGAAGATTCCCATGAACACCTCACAAGGAGTTGGTCCAGATGATGAAAGAAAGGATGTCGATGCAACAACCTACAGAGGAATCATAGGATCTCTTCTCTATCTAACTGCAAGCAGACCAGACATCTCATTCTCTGTTGGAATCTGTGCCAGATACCAATCAAAGCCCAAGGAGAGCCATCTTAGTGCTGCAAAGAGAATCATCAGATATATCAAAGGAAATCCAAATGCAGGCCTATGGTATCCAAAGGGAGGTAACTTTGAACTAATTGGTTACTCTCACTCAGATTTTGCAGGTTGCAGGTTAGACAGGAAGAGCACCTCTGGTCAAAGCCTCTTCATGTGCCAACAGAAGACCAGCTTGCACATATTCTGACAAAGCCTCTTCCTGAGGCTAGATTCAACAAACTGAGAGAGGAATTGGGAATGATGGATGAAATTCCAAGAGAAAGTTTAAAAGGAAGGCCCTCTGTTGCAAAATCTCTGCTAACAGAATACCTGTTGCAGAACCCCTTCTGTTAACCCCCTTCTGTTCTCTATCCTGGCAGAACACCTTAGCAACAGAAACCCTCTCTTCCTTCCTTCAGAAAACCTCTTCTTATATATAACAGAAAAGGTTGTGGACTTAGCAAAATTCTGAAAAACCGGGTGAGCTAGTAAATTATTAAAGGTCTTTTACCCTTTTACCCTTAAAACGGTATACAGCCGCATAATATTTACTGCGCCTCCTTTTTCATTTATTGGTACCTTGGAACTGCAAATTATCTCAAACGTCCACTAACCCGTACCCATATATTCCCCTCATTTCAACCTAAACCGCTACTGCTTCCATTACTCTCAAGCTTTTGAACTCTTATCTCTGCAAAACTCTCAACCGCTAAAACCGGCTATGGCTTTCTTGAGCTTCAATGATCTTTCCAAGGAACAAAAAGCAACCCTGCTCAAGAATGTGTTGACAGGGATGAAGTGCGAACTGGATGTTCTACCCAGATTTGCTGAGAAAAGAGAGAGGATGACCAACATCATTGACGGGCTGACAGATTGTCAACTAAGCAAGGTCATCACCTATGCTTATGAAGTCTACAGCAACATTGACACGGTTGAGTTCTATCTCAACGCGTCCTTCAAGGATGAAACCATCACCTCCAGTGTCCAAGGAGAATAAATACTGGTTGATGCTGACGTCATCAACAAAGTATTTGACATTCAACTAGAGGAAGGCAGGGCCTCTCTATTTGATTTGGAGGAAGCTGAAGTCACTGTCCTTGAATTCAAGAGGAACTATTGCAGAAAAGGGGAAGAAGTGGAGAAGGTGTGTCACGCCCCGGACCTAGCCGGACACGTCAACAATCCGCCGTACAATACGAATAGTCAACCGCAGTTCAACTCATCCATGCTATACAAGGCGTCATGAATATCATTCACACATAGTACATTCATAAACAAACATAATGTAAAACATGCATATAAAACAGCGGAAGCATTAATACAATTGTTCAAACCACACTTGGCATAACTAGGCATACAAGCCCTCAAGTAATTATTAATAAAATGGTGTCCATGAGCATTAACTTAATTGTTTTTAAAACAGAACGGAAGAAGCACGAACCACGTCTTCTTCCTTGGATCTTCCCGAAGCAACGGGCGGTGGCAGCAACCTTCAAGTTCTACCTGAAACTGTGAGGTGGCCTCCCCCGTGAAGGGGAGGTCAGTACTTGGAAATATTTGACAGATACAATAGCAACTATACTAAGTATAATCAACGTTTTAATTTCCAAGACCCTCAATTTAGGGTACTATTATAGTATAGGCCATAACCCTCGGTTACCCCCTTTTCTTTTAACTGTACTTACTTTATATAAAGTCAAGTAGTCGGCCCCTAGGCCCATGTTCATTTAGAATTCATCGTTTCCATTCCCCCGTGACCGCGAGTCACGACAACCCCGTGGGGTCCCATCGAGCCCCAATTGTATAGCATGGCTCGGCCCAACTACATTTCTATACAATCCTCTAACTCGATATAACATATCAAAATTTGTATGGCAAGGGCTCGGCCCAACTACGTTTCCATACCAACCATAACTTCGTGGCAAGGGCTCGACCCAACTACGTTTCCACATAGATCACATATGCATGGCAAGGGCTCGGCCCAACTACGTTTCCATGCGAATCATATTACATGGCATGGGCTCGGCCCAACTACATTTCTATGTCATCCTAGAGTCCAACTCTAATTATTTTCATAACCCAATTCTCAAGCAAATCCTATGCCTAGAATCAATCTCCTTGGGTAGCCTTAGGCCTACCCCTATCACACCTTAGTGTTCATATAATCCAACCTTAAAGTATCTCTTAAGACTACTTAAGGCATACTCGTTTTCAATCATATCTCTTAGGATTAATTCCATCATTTATTTATATTAATCTCCCGACTAGTATTCCAACACTAGTCGGATAATCTTAGAACCCCCAAGTTCTTAAGTCATAACAAATTAATTCATCCCGATTGATTTTCCAATTCAAATATAATTTAATCCAAATATCAAAACTATCACTTTTAACCATTCATGGATTTCATGCATGAAGTAAAAGTATGTTTTATCACGATGTCATCATAGTAATTTCATTAACATGCCGTTCCATTCATTTCACATAATCATACATAATTGTTCTCAATTTGTATATCATGCTCCACTCACTCATATCAATATTATTTCCATTTAGGTATTATTAATCATTAATAATCCATGAAAAATCCCATCCAAATACTTTAGGCAATCTTATGAAATTAACCCACTAAGTGTCAGAAGGAAAAGTTGAGAGTTTCTCTCTCCTGGGTTTTGGCACCCAGCTCTTTTCCAAGGATGAATTTCACGATTTTGCTTGATTCTTGAGCTATGATATGTGTTTTTCCTTGTGTTTCTTGGTCGTTTTTTCTCCTATAATCCCATTTCGATTGAATCTGGTATTACAAGGTGATTGGCGACTAGAAAACCTAGATTTTCCGATTTGAAGAGCGTCGTATTACTGTTCACGAACCTGGATTTTGCGTTTCGACTTGAGGCGGTTTGATATTGCTCTGTTCTAATTCAATCCTGAATACATTTCCATCCTTGGAGTTGTTGCTGGGATGATGCTTATTGGACTTCGTTAGTAGCAAAACTCAGCCGACTTTTAGTAGCCGCAATTTCTATTTTCAGGTCAAGTTTCAGTTCTGCGAGGGGCTTTAATCAAGTGTTCTCTGTCTTTTGAGGTCTGTTTGTGGTTGGTTTGGGCGTTCTTTTTCTCACACAGTTGCTGGGACGAAGGCCTTTCTTTTTCTCACAGTTGCTGGAACGAACGCATCTCCTGCGCCAGTTTACTGGCCTTGGCAACCTAGGGTTCAGTGCTGCGGTTTTTGTGAATTTAAAATACTGCTAGAGGTACCTGTGATGGGAAGAACGAAGCAGGTGGCTGGGGAGGCTTCCAATTCGAGATACACCAGGTCCAAATATGCAGCTTTACAGGATTTGGAAGAAGACTTCCCAGTTCTAAACTCTGAAAAAAAGGCAGGGGAGTTTGCTGTGAAGTCAGGCAGATCTAAGGCAGTGGTTCCAAACAAAACCTGCCAGATTGAGAGTGAAAAGCAAGAGACCATGGCTGAGACGGGGGCTGTCATTAACCAGACTCCTGGTGCAAACGGGAATGCTGAGACTTCACTTGATATCCCAAATCCTGGGAATATAGGGACTGATGCGAATGCTGGACACATAAAGGCTGCTGGTCGAGCTCTGGCAGAAGTGAAAGCTCCATCACCTGCTGTTACTGCTGCTGGGAAGTCAGCGTATTCCACTGCTGTTGCACCTGTGGCAGTAAATGCCTCCCAAGAAAATGTGAGGCCCGCTGCTGAGTCTTTAGGAGCTTTTAGAACTTCAAGCAAACAACCTACTGCCAGTGAAGTTATGCGAATTGGGAATGTGGGAGGAGTGGATATTGTGCAGCCAGAAATGATGCAACCTGCTAGGCCTTGGTCTTCACTTTTTAAAGACAACCGTGACCCTTCCAACGGGCTCAAATTGAGGTATATCCCGCCCAAGGGCAACTCATTAGACTTTATTGATAGGAATTTACCCTCCATGGTTGAGATGTGGGGTTTTTTCCTTGTTGGACACTTTACTGGAAAACATCCCGGCCTTAAGGCTATCTATGCCTTAAAAAACTCATGGGGTGTTAGGTGCATAGTTAAATCCCATCAAAAGGGGTGGGTAATTTTTAAGTTCCATAACGACGAAGATAGAGATAAGGTGTTGAAGGGGGGGACCTTATACCATTTATGGGATTCAACTTATGCTAAAAACACTATCCGAAGATTTTTCGTTTGATGATGATGAATTTCTGAAGGTTCCGATTTGGGTTAAATTTCCAAATTTACATATGAAACTTTGGAATGAGGATGCGATGAGTAAGGTTGCTTCCATGGTTGGGGTTCCTTTATCTACGAATAAAGTAACCCAGGATAGGAGTAATCATTTCTATGCTAGAGTGTTGATTGAGGTTGACGTTTCCAAACCACCGCCGCTATCATTTCCTATTCGACTACCTTCCCGCAAAGTAGTCACTCAGTATGTGGTTTATGAGACCTTTCCTAACTACTGTTTCCATTGCAAAGAATATGGGCACCACCCATTTATTTGCAAGAAATTGGCAACTAAAGAACGGGAAATGGCGGAGCTAAAGGAAGAAAATGGGAAAGAAAAGAACAAGGAAGTTGGTATTATTGAAGCTGTTGCACAAGATGCTTTGAAGGAAAACATTGCCACAAAACCTGATGTGCTTGAACCTGCTGCCCCGGAACCTGATGCCCCGGAACCTGCTGCTACGTTGGAACCGGATGCCAAAACGGATGAATCGGCTGCTGTGGCCGAATCAGAGGAGGAAGATGGCACAGAAGATGAGGAATCAGATGATGAGTCGAGAGATGAAGAGGAACAGAGAATTCTTGATGAGTACTGGGAAAAAATTACACAATATAAGGAGATGAAGAAAAAGATGGAAGCTGAGTCTGCTCAAACAGGTTTAGGCTAATTTGATACAGTTAAATTCTGGCTTGTTATTTGATGAACTTTTGATTAGGTGTGAAATGGGACTTGTCCCGTTATTTACTTTGTGATGCATTATGCTTAGGTTAGAGTTTTCTAACTTAGGTAGTCATATTGATTTTGTACGACACATTGTAAAATGTTATTTTTGGATGCTTTATATATACTTACATTTCATCCAAAAAAAAAATGAAATTAACCCACTAATTATAAGCAATATAGTCAGCCATCCTCACCTTATGAAGTGCTGAAATAGTTGCCTTTGCTAAGCCCCTCGATCAATCCCCGTTCTAGGCCGATTGAAGGTGTAAAACTGAGTTGCTGGGCCAAAGCCGGGCGGCTTTCACGAAAGCCGGGCGGCTTTCGTGTTCTGCAGAAACGAGCAGCTCCCTTAAAGTGGCGGTTTCCGGCGATTTCGACTCCTATCGATTCACCAACTCTTCTAAGTTAAATATCACCACTTTATGCAATTATTCTACACTTTTAAACGTGTAGAACATCATGTTTAATCCACCATATGATTTCTTAAAAGTCATACACCATAAAACTAGTTAAAGAACAATAGTTATGTTCTTACCTTAAACTCAAGCTATTTCTTGTGGATTTTCCTAGCTTCCCTCTTCCTCCAACTAGAGCTTTGATTTTCCTTGGGCTTCTCCTACTTTGTTCTGGCCGAATGACTCAAGGATAGGGGGGAGGGATCACCTATTCAATCACCCAAAATAATTTGGTGATGGGGTCATGAGGGTGCAACTTTGTCTCTAGGAAGCTCCCCTCCCTTCTTCTTGTCCACACAAGCCATGTTGGGATGTCCCATTCCCATTGCTCTGGTCATTCAGCACCCATAAAAACGTGGGGTGGCCCCCACTTATGTGAGAGGTCATCCCATTATGTCCCGGTGTGTATAATCGGCCCCGAAAGTTGTATTTTTCGGACTATTTTAGTCATATTTTATTTTATCGGCCCAAATAAAATATATCACGTGATCCTAATAATTATGGGCCTTTAGAATAGATGTACATTCCCCAACATTAATTTAGAAGCCTCCGAGACTCATTTTGGGCTGTTATCCGTTAAATTACCAATACCGGTAATTGGGCCCCGTTTGACCAACCGGCCAACTCCATGCCTTTCTTATGGCCCAAATAAAATATCCACCACCATATACATATTATCTAGACCAAGATGAATATGATATGTGGTTCGGGAATTATCGGGCGGTCCCCGTTCCCGCTGTGGGCCCCACATGCAATTTACTATTCACGTAAAAGAAATAGTAAAAATTTACAATCACGCAATTTCTTAAATCATTCTTCAAGGTTTATTACATAATTTACTAAAAGTAAATATGCTCGGGGTCGGTGTTACAAGGTGAACATCAAGAAGAATCTGCTCAAGAAGGACTTTGAGCTGCTCATCAACATTTTCCACTAGTGTTTATGGTGCAAGTTTACCTCTACTGATGATGTTACTACTGCAAATGCCAAGGCCCTATATGCAGTACATCATGGGGTGAATGTCAACTGGGGACAAGTTATGGTTCAGTCTCTGATTGAGTTCATCAAGAAGAAGAACCCCAAGACAGGCCTTTACTCTGGAAAGCTAGGGCATGGGGTGCTCATCTCAGAACGGCTTCTCAATCAAGGTGTAACCTTGAGGAAGGCCATACCTCTGGATCACACAAAGGTAATCTTCCTATCTGCCTCTCCAAATAGGGAAATAGCCATCAAGGCAAAGCTGAAGAGACAGCTTCAGCTTGACAACAAAAGACAACAAGGAGACAAGGTGCAGAAACCTATCTCTGAAGCACCTTCTGTGGAAAAGAAGAAGAAAAAGGTGAATAAAACAAAACTGGTTGCTCCACCTCCACCCATGAAGGCTGGACAGAAAAGGAAGAGGACCACCAAAACAAAAAAGAAGGTTGCTAAACCTTTGATCACCATGTCTGAGAAGGTGGCAGACATTCAGGGGGAACCAGAGAACCCCACCTCTGTTGCCACTCCAGAACAGAATAAGGTGCCAACTTCAACAGAGCACCCCACCACAGGCAAAGAAGGGTATATGTCCTTGCTGGATAGACAATTTGCTCGAGTTCTTGAATGTAGAAGATGGAGAATGGGACCCCTTTACAAGATCATTCAATTCTTTGATTATTATGAGCCTGAAGAAGAGGCCATCCTGAAGTGGGTAGGCACTGATGATGTCTCCAAGTGCTTTGCCCTCAACTTCCTTCATTCTGTCCTAGAGAAGAAGAAGGCAGGTTACAAGGGAAAGACTATCCTCATATCCTCACCGTCAGAGGAAACAGTCAAGCCCCTGGAAGAAGGAGAGATAGAAACATTTGAAGAATGGCTTTTTGCCAAGAAGGCAATAGAATCTGTTCAACCAAACTTCAACCCAGGAGAACCCTCTGTACCTAAGACAGAAGGGCAGGCTATGATGGAGCTCATCAAGGAATGGAGGACATCCTTGTCTGAAAACAATGTAATTGAGGTAATCTCTCCAACCCCTTCTATTCATATCTTAACAGAACCCCAAATCCTTTCACCTCTTATTACAACAGAAACCCCTCCAACAGAAAACCCTCAACCCAAATCCCCTGAACAGAAAACCTCCACCTCTCCTCACTCATCCAATAAGAAAACCAAATCACCTTGCAAAGAACTTATCCCATTCAGAAACCGCTCCCCTTCACCTCCACCATCTCCTCCTCAACAGAATGCCTCCCCTCAACAAAACATTCCTTCTCCCTAACCTTCACACCAACAGCAGAATTCCCTCCCTCAACAGAAATCCACCTCAACTCAAAACTCATCCTCACCTACAGCAAATTCCCTAAGAACATCTCTATACTCTGCTGCATCCACACCCAAGAGACAGCCTCTTCACCGCATTCTCTCCTCTGAAAGTGATAATAATGGCTTTCTGTCATCTTCTCTTGCTAGAGACCTCACTTCAAAACGCCAACCTACTCCTCCCAGAGAACCCTCTCCCCAGAAACCCTCTATGCAACAGACCAGAAGGCCTCTCGTGCACAGGTCCAGGGGACTAGGAATGCCAGAGCCTGAAGAATCTATACCTCAAATTCCCTTCAACAAGTTTGTTGAAACTGCAGAAGAATTTGGTGGTCAAGTCCTGGAAGGCATGGACAAACTGATCCAAATTAATGATAAGCACTTTGAGCACCTTGCTCATGTGAATGACAATCTCAACTCTGGGATGCAGTTTATCTCTGACCGTTTTGAAAACCTCACAGAATCCCTCCACAGCTTCATGGCCTCCTCCTCTGCCAGAACAGACGCACTGTCAACAGAAGTGGTAGGTATTCACAAGACCCTTTCTGTTTTTCAGCAAACTCTACTAAGTCAAGGACGGGCCATCAGCACAATCTCTGAGAATCTTGAGGCAGTGCAAAGAACTGACACCAGAACTAAGAAGCAACTGATTTCCATAGAGGAAATGTGCAGAGCCCATCAAGATCAAGCTCAACATCTTCTCTCTGCCGACAGAGACAGATACCAGAAGATGGTACTGCTTGAAGCCAACAACAAGGACATCTTCTCTGCTATTCAGAAGCAGCAAGGACTGATAGAAGGCCTTACTTTTGTCACTCAGACCTTACCAGAGGCCCTTGAGCAGATAGCCTCCTCACAGGCCTCAGAGTTCCAGAAGATCAGCATGATGCTAGAGGACCTCAATGATGCCAAAAAGGGGGAAGAGGACCCTCAACAGACTAGGTCTCGGTCCACCAGAACTCCTGCTAGAGCATCCTCTTCTGCTGAACCAATAGCACATCCTGCACCATACTTTGAAGCCGCTTTACAGAAAAAGAGAGCAGCTGGTATACCTAGACCCCCATCTCCAGCAAAGAAAGGCACCAAGAAGAAGAAAATCTTCAGTTTTACTGAGTGGAGATTGGGTGGATCCCAGAAAATTGATAGAATTCAGTTCGAAGAAATGAAGATGAAAATGACTCTCACCCAACAACAGAACCTCTTTTTAGACAAGAATGGTGTTGTACGAGTTAGATATGGGGGATCTCTAGAAGAAGCTGAAGATTGGTACAAGAAGAATATTGTTCCTGGCAAGACAATACATGAAGGAGTCCTTCGCTATCTGGATTGCAAGCAATCTCCCATACTGGCATCCTACCAAAGCTCTGGCAACTTATCTCAGATCAGAGCAGAAATCAATAAAGAGCTGCTAAGGCTTCAAAGATAGGAGGAAGAAGCTCTGCAAGCAGCTACTTTGGAGAATGTGTAAGAAATATCTCTGTAAAATGCATCTAATAAAATCACATCTCTGCCTTTTCACTTTGTAATGCTTTTCCTCAATTCCTGTCTCTTTGCTTTCTGTCTGTGTTTGTTTGCTTTTTGAATTATTATCTGCTATCTGAATGTACTGCACTCTTACTATTTTCCTATGTCAAGTTGCCCACCAAGATTTTAATGAAAGTTTTAAACTTAATTCTTTGTGGTGAAGGCACTTCTCTGGAAATAGTTAAAGGGTTTTGGCATCATCAAAAAGGGGGAAATTGTAAGGAATATTTGTAATTAGATTTTGATGATGCTAGATTAATTAGGACTTTAGAGTACCGCTCTTTAGACTTAATGTATTAGAATTTTCCTTTGTAAAATTCTTTAGTATAATCGACTTAGCAGAAAGCCTCCAGAGCAGAAGACCTACTTAGCAGAAAGCCTCCAGAGCAGAAGATCCTTGATAAGGCATTGGTTGAACAGAGGACCTTTGGTTCTTTGCTTTAGAACAGAAGACCTCAGGGTCTCTGTTAGCCTTTACTCTGACAGAAACCCTCCTGGTTCTCTGTTGGATATCGTTTCAATAGAAGTGCTCAAGACCTTCTCTGATCAACTCTCTGTTAAAGACACCAGAAGGCCTGACTCTTAGAAGAATTCCACCAAGCCGGGAAACCAACTGAAAGATTCCTTCAACGGCTAGGAGTCTTGAACGGAAAAGCTACAGTGTGCGCATTAAATGCACATTTAATGCCCCCCATACTCCGTAAAGTAATTGCAGATGATTGGCCGCAATGTCAGGATTACTTTATCCCAAAATAGTAACCCGCCAACTTTACCGGGTCCTACTGGTCAAGTCAACTGCTCGTTCATTTAATGCAGTTGTCCTCCTTCTCCTCCAACGGGAAGACAACCTCAGTATAAAAGATAC